CACACACACACAGACACACACACAGACACACACACACACACAGACACACACACACAGACACACACACAGACACACACACACAGACACACACACACACAGACACACACACAGACACACACACACACAGACACACACAGACACACACACACAGACACACATACACAGACACACACACAGACACAGACACACAGACACACACACAGACACACACACAGATACACACACACAGACACAGACACACACACAGACACACACACACACACAGACACACACACACACAGATAGACACACACATACACACACACAGACACACACAGACACACACACAGACACACACACAGATAGACACAGACACACAGACACACACACACAGACACACACACACAGACACACACACACACAGACACACACAGATAGACACACACACAGACACACACACAGACACACACACACAGACACGCCACAGACACACACAGACACACAGATAGACACACAGACACACACACACAGATACACACACAGACACACAGACACACACACAGACACACACACAGACACACACACACACAGACACACACAGACACACACACAGACACACACACAGATAGACACACACAGATAGACACACACAGACACACACACACAGACACACACACAGACACACACAGACACACACACACACAGATAGACACACACAGATACACACACACAGACACACACAGACACACACAGACACAGACACACACACACACAGACACACACACAGACACACAGACACACACAGACACACACACACACAGACACACACACACAGATACACACACAGACACACACACACAGACACACACACACACAGACACACACACAGACACACACACACAGACACACACACAGACACACACACAGACACTCACACAGACACACACAGACAGACACACACACACACACAGACACACACACACACAGACACACACACACACACAGACACACACACAGATAGACACACACAGACACACACACACAGACACACACACAGACACACACACACAGACACACACACAGACACACAGATAGACACACACAGACACACACACACACACACAGACACACACACACAGACACACACACAGACACACACACACAGACACACACACAGACACACACACACAGACACACACACAGACACACACACACAGACACACACACAGATAGACACACACAGACACACAGATAGACACACACAGACACACACAGACACACACACAGACACACACACACAGACACACACACAGACACACACACACACACAGACACACACACAGACACACACAGACACACACACAGACACACACACACAGACACACACACAGACACACACACACAGACACACACAGACACACACACAGATAGACACACACAGACACACACACACAGACACACACACACAGACACACACACACAGACACACACACACACAGACACACACACACAGACACACACACAGACACACACACACAGACACACACACACACAGATACACACAGACAGATAGAGACAGGTTTATAAAGACAAAGGTCCCCCGTGTAGGCTGTAACTGACTGCTGGGGCAAGTGCCGTCAGGGACCAGCGCCTTTGACGCACGGCGCTGCTGATGATGATGATGTTGATGATGGTGGTGCTGATGATGATGCTGCTGCGGATAATGATGATGCTGATGCTTATGATGTTGATGCTGATGATGATGCTGCTGATGATGATGGTGGTGCTGATGATGATGCTGCTGATGATGGTGGTGCTGATGATGATGATGCTGATGATGGTGGTGCTGATGATGATGCTGCTGCGGATAATGATGATGCTGATGCTTATGATGTTGATGCTGATGGTGATGGTGCTGATGATGATGCTGATGGTGATGCTGCTGATGATGATGGTGATGCTGATGATGATGATGCTGATGATGGTGGTGCTGATGATGATGCTGATGGTGATGCTGATGATCCTGATGATGATGTTGATGTTGATGCTGATGATGGTGATGCTGATGATGGTGATGCTGATGATGCTGATGATGCTGATGATGATGCTGATGATGATGCTGATGATCCTGATGATGATGTTGATGCTGATGATGGTGATGCTGATGATGATGCTGCTGATGATGATGCTGCTAATGATGATGTTGATGCTGATGATGGTGATGCTGATGATGATGCTGCTGATGGTGATGCTGATGATGCTGATGATGCTGATGATGATGCTGATGATGATGATGCTGATGGTGATGCTGATGATGCTGATGATGCTGATACTACAACTGATGATGCTGCTGCTGAAGATGATGATGATGCTGATGATGATGATGCTGCTGATGCTGCTGCTGATGATGATGCTGATGATGATGATGCTGCTGATGATGATGCTGCTGATGATGATGCTGCTGATGATGATGCTGAGGATGATGATGATGCTGCTGATGCTGCTGCTGATGCTGATGATGCTGCTGATGTTGCTGCTGATGCTGATGATGCTGCTGATGATGATGCTGATGATGATGATGCTGATGATGATGGTGATGCTGATGGTGGTGCTGATGATGATGCTGATGATGGTGGTGCTGATGATGATGCTGCTGATGATGCTGATGATGATGCTGATGATGCTGATGGTGATGCTGATGCTGATGATGGTGATGCTGATGATGATGCTGCTGATGGTGATGCTGATGATGCTGATGATGCTGATGATGATGCTGATGATGATGATGCTGATGGTGATGCTGATGATGCTGATGATGCTGATGATGATGCTGATGATGATGCTGATGATCCTGATGATGATGTTGATGCTGATGATGGTGATGCTGATGATGATGCTGCTGATGATGATGCTGCTAATGATGATGTTGATGCTGATGATGGTGATGCTGATGATGATGCTGCTGATGATGATGTTGCTGCGGATGTTGATGATGTTGATGATGATGATGCTGATGATGATGCTGATGATGTTGATGATGTTGATGATGATGATACTACAACTGATGATGCTGCTGCTGAAGATGATGATGATGCTGATGATGATGATGCTGCTGATGCTGCTGCTGATGATGATGCTGATGATGATGATGCTGCTGATGCTGCTGCTGATGATGATGCTGCTGATGATGATGCTGCTGATGATGATGCTGCTGATGATGATGCTGCTGATGATGATGATGCTGCTGATGCTGCTGCTGATGATGCTGATGATGCTGCTGATGATGTTACCTGTGCGGGTGTGTGCAGCACAAGTTGACTCAATGCCTCAAGGACCCAGACACCTCCACTGAGCTCTCCGTAGAGAAAATCACGGAGTGTCTGAGGGGACAGGTGAAGCATCACACGTGACCGCTGCCGTCACACGTGACTGCTGCCCTCACACGTGACTGCTGCCCTCACACGTGACCGCTGTCCTCACACGTGACCGCTGCCCTCACACGTGACTGTCCTCACACGTGACTGCTGTCCTCACAAGTGACTGTCCTCACACGTGACTGCTGCCCTCACACGTGACTGCTGCCCTCACACGTGACCGCTGCCCTCACACGTGACTGCTGCCCTCACACGTGACCGCTGTCCTCACACGTGACTGCTGCCCTCACACGTGACCGCTGCCCTCACACGTGACCGCTGCCCTCACACGTGACCGCTGCCCTCACACGTGACCGCTGCCCTCACACGTGACTGCTGCCCTCACACGTGACCGCTGCCCTCACACGTGACCGCTGCCCTCACACGTGACCGTTGCCCTCACACGTGACTGCTGCCGTCACACGTGACTGCCCTCACACGTGACTGCTGCCGTCACACGTGACCGTTGCCCTCACACGTGACCGTTGCCCTCACACGTGACTGCTGCCGTCACACGTGACCGCTGCCCTCACACGTGACTGCTGCCCTCACACGTGACCGCTGCCCTCACACGTGACCGCTGCCCTCACACGTGACCGCTGCCCTCACACGTGACCGTTGCCCTCACACGTGACTGCTGCCGTCACACGTGACTGCCCTCACACGTGACTGCTGCCGTCACACGTGACCGTTGCCCTCACACGTGACCGTTGCCCTCACACGTGACTGCTGCCGTCACACGTGACTGCCCTCACACGTGACCGCTGCCCTCACACGTGACCGTTGCCCTCACACGTGACTGCTGCCCTCACACGTGACTGCTGCCCTCACACGTGACCGCTGCCCTCACACGTGACTGCTGCCCTCACACGTGACTGCTGCCCTCACACGTGACTGTCCTCACACGTGACCGCTGCCCTCACACGTGACTGCTGCCCTCGCCCGTGACTGCTGCCCTCACACGTGACTGTCCTCACACGTGACCGCTGCCCTCACACGTGACTGCTGCCCTCACACGTGACTGCTGCCCTCACACGTGACCGCTGTCCTCACACGTGACTGCTGCCCTCACACGTGACCGCTGCCCTCACACGTGACCGCTGCCCTCACACGTGACTGCCCTCACACGTGACTGCTGCCCTCACACGTGACCGCTGTCCTCACACGTGACTGCTGCCCTCACACGTGACCGCTGCCCTCACACGTGACTGCTGCCCTCACACGTGACTGCTGCCCTCACACGTGACCGCTGCCCTCACACGTGACTGCCCTCACACGTGACCGCTGTCCTCACACGTGACTGCTGCCCTCACACGTGACTGCTGCCCTCACACGTGACCGCTGTCCTCACACGTGACTGCTGCCCTCACACGTGACCGCTGTCCTCACACGTGACTGCTGCCCTCACACGTGACTGCTGCCCTCACACGTGACCGCTGCCCTCACACGTGACTGTTGCCCTCACACGTGACTGCTGCCCTCACACGTGACTGTTGCCCTCACACGTGACTGCCCTCACACGTGACCGCTGCCCTCACACGTGACTGCTGCCCTCACACGTGACTGCCCTCACCCGCTTTGTCTGTGTGTACATCATAGGTGGTGCTATTCGCTAATACTAACAGCACTTGCCCCTACAGCCCTGCTAGAGGCTACCTGGGGGACCTTTGTCTGTGTCTGTGTGACTGCACTTGCCACTACAGCCCTGCTAGAGGCTACCTGGGGGACCTTTGCCAGTGTCTGTGTGTGACTGCACTTGCCCCTACAGCCCTGCTAGAGGCTACCTGGGGGAACTTTGTCTGTGTCTGTGTGACTGCACTTGCCCCTACAGCCCTGCTAGAGGCTACCTGGGGGACCTTTGCCAGTGTCTGTGTGTGACTGCACTTGCCCCTACAACCCTGCTAGAGGCTACCTGGGGGAACTTTGTCTGTGTCTGTGTGTGACTGCACTTGCCCCTAGAGCCCTGCTAGAGGCTACCTGGGGGACCTTTGCCAGTGTCTGTGTGTGGCTGCACTTGCCCCTAGAGCCCTGCTAGAGGCTACCTGGGGGACCTTTGTCTGTATCTGTGTGTGACTGCACTTGCCCCTAGAGCCCTGCTAGAGGCTACCTGGGGGACCTTTGCCTGTGTCTGTGTGTGACTGCACTTGCCCCTACAGCCCTGCTAGAGGCTACCTGGGGGACCTTTGCCAATGTCTGTGTGTGACTGCACTTGCCCATAGAGCCCTGCTAGAGGCTACCTGGGGTATCTTTGCCTGTGTCTGTGTGTGACTGCACTTGCCCCTAGAGCCCTGCTAGAGGCTACCTGGGGGACCTTTGCCTGTGTCTGTGTGTGACTGCACTTGCCCCTACAGCCCTGCTGGAGGCTTCATGGGGGACCTTTGTCTGTGTCTGTGTGTGACTGCACTTGCCCCTAGAGCCCTGCTAGAGGCTACCTGGGGGACCTTTGCCAGTGGCTGTGTGTGACTGCACTTGCCCCTAGAGCCCTTGCCCCTAGAGCCCTGCTAGAGGCTACCTGGGGGACCTTTGCCTGTGTCTGTGTGCAGTCCGCCAAGCTCCCGTTCCTGACTCGGAGCGAGAATTTTCACCTGGACGCGGCCCTGCACAGACTCGCACGTGTCGGAGAGGTGATGGTGGTGGTGGTGGTGATGGTGGTGGTGGTGATGGTGGTGGTGGTGGTGGTGATGGTGGTGGTGATGATGGTGGTGGTGGTGATGGTGGTGGTGGTGATGGTAGTGGTGGTGGTGGTGATGGTGGTGGTGATGGTGGTGGTGGTGGTGGTGGTGGTGATGGTGGTGGTGATGGTGGTGGTGGTGGTGATGGTGGTGATGGTGGTGATGGTGGTGGTGATGGTGGTGGTGATGGTGGTGGTGGTGGTGATGGTGGTGATGGTGGTGATGGTGGTGGTGATGGTGGTGATGGTGGTGATGGTGGTGGTGATGGTGGTGATGGTGGTGGTGATGGTGGTGATGGTGGTGATGGTGGTGGTGATGGTGGTGATGGTGGTGATGGTGGTGGTGGTGGTGGTGATGGTGGTGGTGATGGTGGTGGTGGTGGTGATGGTGGTGATGGTGGTGGTGATGGTGGTGGTGATGGTGGTGATGGTGGTGGTGATGGTGGTGGTGATGGTGGTGATGGTGGTGATGGTGGTGGTGATGGTGGTGGTGGTGGTGGTGATGGTGGTGATGGTGGTGATGGTGGTGGTGATGGTGGTGGTGATGGTGGTGGTGATGGTGGTGGTGGTGGTGATGGTGGTGATGGTGGTGGTGATGGTGGTGGTGGTGATGGTGGTGATGGTGGTGGTGATGGTGGTGGTGGTGGTGATGGTGGTGATGGTGGTGGTGATGGTGGTGGTGGTGGTGGTGATGGTGGTGATGGTGGTGATGGTGGTGGTGGTGATGGTGGTGGTGATGGTGGTGGTAGTGGTGGTGATGGTGGTGGTGGTGACGGTGGTGGTGATGGTGGTGGTGATGGTGGTGATGGTGGTGATGGTGGTGATGGTGGTGGTGATGGTGGTGGTGGTGGTGGTGATGGTGGTGGTGGTGACGGTGGTGGTGATGGTGGTGGTGATGGTGGTGATGGTGGTGGTGATGGTGGTGGTGATGGTGGTGGTGATGGTGGTGGTGGTGATGGTGGTGGTGGTGATGGTGGTGGTGATGGTGGTGGTGGTGGTGGTGGTGGTGGTGGTGGTGGTGGTGATGGTGGTGGTGGTGATGGGGGTGGTGGTGGTGATGGTGGTGGTGATGGTGGTGATGGTGGTGGTGATGGTGGTGGTGGTGATGGTGGTGGTGATGGTGGTGATGGGGGTGGTGATGGAGGTGGTGATGGGGGTGGTGATGGGGGTGGTTATGGTGGTGGTGATGGGGGTGGTGATGGGGGTGGTGATGGTGGTGGTGATGGTGGTGGTGATGGTGGTGGTGGTGGTGATGGTGGTGGTGGTGGTGATGGTGGTGGTGATGGTGATGGTGGTGATGGTGGTGGTGGTGATGGTGGTGGTGGTGATGGTGGTGGTGGTGGTGATGGTGGTGGTGATGGTGGTGATGGTGGTGGTGGTGATGGTGGTGGTGATGGTGGTGGTGGTGGTGGTGGTGATGGTGGTGGTGGTGATGGGGGTGGTGATGGTGGTGGTGGTGATGGGGGTGGTGGTGATGGTGATGGTGGTGGTGATGGTGGTGGTGGTGGTGATGGTGGTGGTGGGGGTGGTGGTGGTGATGGTGGTGGTGGTGGTGATGGTGGTGGTGATGGGGGTGGTGATGGTGGTGATGGTGGTGGTGGTGGTGGTGGTGATGGTGGTGATGGCGGTGATGGTGGTGGTGATGGTGGTGGTGGTGGTGATGGTGGTGGTGATGGTGGTGATGGTGGTGGTGGTGGTGGTGATGGTGGTGGTGGTGATGGTGGTGGTGGTGATGGTGGTGGTGGTGGTGATGGTGATGGCGGTGATGGTGGTGGTGATGGTGGTGGTGGTGGTGATGGTGGTGGTGATGGTGGTGGTGATGGTGGTGGTGATGGTGGTGGTGATGGTGGTGGGGGTGGTGATGGTGATGGTGGTGATGATGATGGTGGTGATGGTGGTGGTGATGGTGGTGGTGATGGTGGTGGTGGTGATGATGGTGGTGGTGATGGTGGTGATGGTGGTGGTGATGGTGGTGGTGGTGGTGATGGTGGTGGTGATGGTGGTGGTGGTGATGGTGATGGTGGTGATGGTGGTGATGGTGGTGGTGAGGGTGGTGGTGGTGGTGGTGATGGTGGTGATGGTGGTGATGGTGGTGGTGATGGTGATGATGGGGGTGGTGATGGTGGTGGTGGTGGTGATGGTGGTGGTGATGGGGGTGGTGATGGGGGTGGTGATGGTGATGGTGGTGGTGGTGATGGTGGTGGTGATAGGGGTGGTGATGGTGGTGGTGATGGTGGTGGTGATGGTGGTGGTGGTGGTAGTGGTAGTGATGGGGGTGGTGATGGTGGTGGTGGTGGTGATGGTGGTGGTGATGGTGGTGGTGGTGGTGATGGTGGTGGTGGTGATGGTGATGGTGGTGATGGTGGTGGTGGTGATGGTGGTGGTGGTGGTGATGGTGGTGGTGGTGATGGTGATGGTGGTGATGGTGGGGGTGGTGGTGATGGTGGTGGTGATGGTGGTGGTGATGGTGGTGATGGTGGTGATGGTGGTGGTGGTGGTGATGGTGGTGATGGTGGTGGTGATGGTGGTGGTGGTGATGGTGGTGATGATGATGGTGGTGGTGGTGATGGTGGTGGTGGGGGTGGTGATGGTGGTGGTGGTGATGGGGGTGGTGGTGGTGATGGGGGTGGTGATGGTGGTGATGGTGGTGGTAATGATGGGGGTGGTGGTGGTGATGGTGGTGGTGATGGTGGTGGTGGTGATGGTGGTGGTGGTGATGGGGGTGGTGATGGTGGTGGTGATGGTGATGGTAGTGGTGATGGTGATGGTGGTGGTGATGGTGGTGGTGATGGTGGTGGTGGTGATGATGGTGGTGGTGATGGTGGTGATGGTGGTGGTGATGGTGGTGGTGGTGGTGATGGTGGTGGTGATGGTGGTGGTGGTGATGGTGATGGTGGTGATGGTGGTGATGGTGGTGATGGTGGTGGTGAGGGTGGTGGTGGTGGTGGTGATGGTGGTGATGGTGGTGATGGTGGTGGTGATGGTGATGATGGGGGTGGTGATGGTGGTGGTGGTGGTGATGGTGGTGGTGATGGTGGTGGTGATGGGGGTGGTGATGGGGGTGGTGATGGTGATGGTGGTGGTGGTGATGGTGGTGGTGATAGGGGTGGTGATGGTGGTGGTGATGGTGGTGGTGATGGTGGTGGTGGTGGTAGTGGTAGTGATGGGGGTGGTGATGGTGGTGGTGGTGGTGGTGATGGTGGTGGTGATGGTGGTGGTGGTGGTGATGGTGGTGGTGGTGATGGTGATGGTGGTGATGGTGGTGGTGGTGATGGTGGTGGTGGTGGTGATGGTGGTGGTGGTGATGGTGATGGTGGTGATGGTGGGGGTGGTGGTGATGGTGGTGGTGATGGTGGTGGTGGTGATGGTGGTGATGGTGGTGATGGTGGTGGTGGTGGTGGTGATGGTGGTGATGGTGGTGGTGATGGTGGTGGTGGTGATGGTGGTGATGATGATGGTGGTGGTGGTGATGGTGGTGGTGGGGGTGGTGATGGTGGTGGTGGTGATGGGGGTGGTGGTGGTGATGGGGGTGGTGATGGTGGTGATGGTGGTGGTAATGATGGGGGTGGTGGTGGTGATGGTGGTGGTGATGGTGATGGTGGTGATGGTGGTGGTGGTGGTGGTGATGATGGTGATGGTGATGATGGTGTTGATGGTGATGGTGGTGGTGATGGGGGTGGTAATGGGGGTGGTGATGGTGGTGGTGATGGGGATGGTGGTGATGGTGGTGGTGGTGATGGTGATGGTGGTGATGGGGGTGGTGATGGTGGTGGTGGTGGTGATGGGGGTGGTGATGGGGGTGGTGATGGTGGCGGTGATGGGGGTGGTGATGGGGGTGGTGATGGGGGTGGTGATGGGGGTGGTGGTGGAGGTGGTGATGGAGGTGGTGATGGGGGTGGTGATGGTGGTGGTGGTGATGGTGGTGGTGATGGTGATGGGGTGGTGGTGGTGATGGTGGTGGTGGTGGTGATGGGGGTGATTATGGTAGTGGTGATGGGGGTGGTGATGGTGGTGGTGGTGGTGATGGGGGTGATTATGGTAGTGGTGATGGGGGTAGTGATGGGGGTGGTGATGGGGGTGGTGATGGGGGTGGTGATGGGGGTGATGGGGGTGGTGATGGTGGTGGTGATGGTGGTGGTGATGGGGGTGGTGATGGTGGTGGTGATGGGGGTGGTGATGGGGGTGGTGATGGAGGTGGTGATGGAGGTGGTGATGGTGGTAGTGATGGGGGTGGTGATGGGGGTGGTGATGGGGATGATGGGGGTGGTGATGGTGGTGGTGATGGGGGTGGTGATGGAGGTGGTGATGGGGGTGGTGATGGAGGTGGTGATGGGGGTGGTACCCTACTGATGATACTGATACTACTACTACCGCTGTGTGTGTACCAGATAGTTAGTAGTCTCTGTGTGTGTGTGTACTCATCAATGCAGAGTACTCTGATGATACTGATACTACTACTACCGCTGTGTGTGTACCAGATAGCGAGTAGTCTCTGTGTGTGTGTGAGTACTCATCAATACAGAGTACCCTGATGATGATACTGATACTACTACTACCGCTGTGTGTGTACTCAGAGAGTGAGTAGTCTGTGTGTGTGTGTGAGTACTCATCGATGCAGAGTACTCTGATGATGATACTGATACTACTACTACCGCTGTGTGTGTGCCAGATAGCGAGTACTCTCAGTGTGTGTGTGTGAGTACTCATCCATGCAGAGTACTCTGATGATGATACAGATACTACTACTACCGCTGTGTGTGTACCAGATAGTGAGTAGTCTCTGTGTGTGTGAGTACTCATCCATGCAGAGTACTCTGATGATGATACTGATACTACTACTACCGCTGTGTGTGTACCAGACAGTGAGTAGTATCTGTGTGTGTGTGAGTACTCATCCATGCAGAGTACTCTGATGATGATACTGATACTACTACTACCGCTGTGTGTGTACCAGATAGCGAGTAGTCCCTGTGTGTGTGAGAGTACTCATCAATGCAGAGTACCCTGATGATGATACTGATACTACTACTACCGCTGTGTGTGTACCAGATAGCGAGTACTCTCTGTGTGTGTGAGTGAGTACTCATCAATGCAGAGTACTCTGATGATGATACTGATACTACTACTACCGCTGTGTGTGTACCAGATAGTGAGTACTCTCAGTGTGTGTGAGTACTCATCAATGCAGAGTACTCTGATGATGATACTGATACTACTACTACTACCGCTGTGTGTGTACCAGATAGTGAGTAGTCTCTGTGTGTGTGTGAGTACTCATCAATGCAGATTACCCTGATGATGATACTGATACTACTACTACCGCTGTGTGTGTACCAGAGAGTGAGTAGTCTCAGTGTGTGTGTGAGTACTCATCAATGCAGAGTACTCTGATGATGATACTGATACTACTACTACCGCTGTGTGTGTACCAGATAGTGAGTAGTCTCTGTGTGTGTGTGAGTACTCATCAATACAGAGTACCCTGATGATGATGATACTGATACTACTACTACCTCTGTGTGTGTACCAGATAGCGAGTAGTCTCTGTGTGTGTGTGTGAGTACTCATCAATGCAGAGTACTCTGATGATGATACTGATACTACTACTACCGCTGTGTGTGTACCAGATAGTGAGTAGTCTCTGTGTGTGTGTGTGAGTACTCATCAATGCAGAGTACTCTGATGATGATACTGATACTACTACTACCGCTGTGTGTGTACCAGATAGTGAGTAGTCTCTGTGTGTGTGTGAGTACTCATCAATGCAGATTACCCTGATGATGATACTGATACTACTACTACCGCTGTGTGTGTACCAGAGAGTGAGTAGTCTCAGTGTGTGTGTGAGTACTCATCAATGCAGAGTACTCTGATGATGATACTGATACTACTACTACCGCTGTGTGTGTTGCAGATAGTGAGTAGTCTCTGTGTGTGTGTGTGTGAGTACTCATCAATGCAGAGTACTCTGATGATGACGCTGATACTACTACTACCGCTGTGTGTGTACTCAGAGAGTGAGTAGTCTCTGTGTGTGTGTGAGTACTCATCCATGCAGAGTACTCTGATGATGATACTGATACTACTACTACCGCTGTGTGAGTACCAGAGAGTGAGTAGTCTCTGTGTGTGTGTGTGTGTACTCATCAATGCAGAGTACTCTGATGATGATACTGATACTACTACTACCGCTGTGTGTGTACCAGATAGTGAGTAGTCTCTGTGTGTGTGTGTGAGTACTCATCAATACAGAGTACTCTGATGATGATGATACTGATACTACTACTACCGCTGTGTGTGTACCAGATAGTGAGTAGTCTCTGTGTGTGTGTACTCATCAATGCAGAGTACCCTGATGATGATACTGATACTACTACTACCGCTGTGTGTGTACCAGATAGTGAGTAGTCTCTGTGTGTGTGTGAGTACTCATCCATGCAGAGTACCCTGATGATGATACTGATACTACTACTACCGCTGTGTGTGTACCAGAGAGTGAGTAGTCTCTGTGTGTGTGTGAGTACTCATCCATGCAGAGTACCCTGATGATGATACTGATACTACTACTACCGCTGTGTGTGTACCAGAGTGAGTAGTCTCAGTGTGTGTGTGTGTACTCATCAATGCAGAGTACTCTGATGATGATACTGATACTACTACTACCGCTGTGTGTGTACCAGAGAGTGAGTAGTCTCTGTGTGTGTGTGTGTACTCATCCATGCAGAGTACTCTGATGATGATACTGATACTACTACTACCGCTGTGTGTGTACCAGATAGCGAGTAGTCTCTGTGTGTGTGTGTGTGTACTCATCAATGCAGAGTACTCTGATGATGACGCTGATACTACTACTGCTACCGCTGTGTGTGTACCAGATAGTGAGTAGTCTCTGTGTGTGTGTGTGAGTACTCATCAATGCAGAGTACCCTGATGATGATACTGATACTACTACTACCACTGTGTGTGTACCAGATAGTGAGTAGTCTCTGTGTGTGTGTGAGAACTCATCCATGCAGAGTACCCTGATGATGATACTGATACTACTACTACCGCTGTGTGTGTACCAGATAGTGAGTAGTCTCAGTGTGTGTGTGAGTACTCATCAATGCAGAGTACTCTGATGATGATACTGATACTACTACTACCGCTGTGTGTGTACCAGAGAGTGAGTAGTCTCTGTGTGTGTGTGAGTACTCATCAATGCAGAGTACCCTGATGATGATACTGATACTACTACTACCGCTGTGTGTGTACCAGAGAGTGAGTAGTCTCAGTGTGTGTGTGGGTACTCATTAATGCAGAGTACTCTGATGATGACGCTGATACTACTACTACTACCTCTGTGTGTGTACCAGATAGCGAGTAGTCTTTGTGTGTGTGTGTACTCATCAATGCAGATTACCCTGATGATGATACTGATACTACTACTACCGCTGTGTGTACCAGATAGTGAGTAGTCTCTGTGTGTGTGTGGGTACTCATCCATGCAGAGTACTCTGATGATGATACTGATACTACTACTACCGCTGTGTGTGTACCAGATAGTGAGTAGTCTCTGTGTGTGTGTGTGAGTACTCATCCATGCAGACTACCCTGATGATGATACTGATACTACTACTACCACTGTGTGTGTACCAGATAGCGAGTAGTCTCTGTGTGTGTGTGTGAGTACTCATCAATGCAGAGTACTCTGATGATGATACTGATACTAGTACTACTGCTGTGTGTGTACCAGATAGTTAGTAGTCTCTGTGTGTGTGTGTACTCATCAATGCAGAGTACTCTGATGATACTGATACTACTACTACCGCTGTGTGAGTACCAGATAGCGAGTAGTCTCTGTGTGTGTGTGAGTACTCACCCATGCAGAGTACTCTGATGATTATACTGAGACTACTACTACCGCTGTGTGTGTACTCAGAGAGTGAGTAGTCTCTGTGTGTGTGTGAGTCCTCATCAATGCAGAGTACTCTGATGATGATACTGATACTACTACTACCGCTGTGTGTGTACCAGATAGTGAGTAGTCTCTGTGTGTGTGTGAGTACTCATCAATACAGAGTACTCTGATGATGATACTGATACTACTACTACCGCTGTGTGTGTACCAGATAGCGAGTAGTCTCTGTGTGTGTGTGTACTCATCAATGCAGAGTACCCTGATGATGATACTGATACTACTACTACCGCTGTGTGTGTACCAGATAGTGAGTAGTCTCTGTGTGTGTGTGAGTACTCATCAATACAGACTACCCTGATGATGACACTGATACTACTACTACCACTGTGTGTGTACCAGAGAGTGAATACTCTGTGTGTGTGTGAGTACTCATCCATGCAGAGTACCCTGATGATGATACTGATACTACTACTACCGCTGTGTGTGTACTCAGAGAGCGAGTAGTCTCTGTGTGTGTGTGAGTACTCATCAATGCAGAGTACACTGATGATGATGATACTGATACTACTACTACCGCTGTGTGTGTACCAGATAGCGAGTACTCTCAGTGTGCGGATTCTCGTCGATGCAGAGACCACGTGCCTCAACCCAGCGCTCTCATTGGTTACCCTCGCCATGATGAGTCTGTACAACCACAATGGCGCCCTCGTGTGGAACACGTACCAGTGCTACCTGAAGGTGTGTCACTGTGTGTATGTATACACTGTGTTTATATACTGTGTGTATGTATATACACTGTGTGTATGTGTCACTGTGTGTATGTATATACTGTGTATATACTGTGTGTATGTATATACTGTGTATATACTGTGTGTATGTATATACTGTGTGTATACTGTGTGTATGTATATACTGTGTGTATATACTGTGTGTATGTATATACTGTGTGTATATACTGTGTGTATGTATATACTGTGTATATATACTGTGTGTATGTATATACTGTGTATATACTGTGTGTATGTGTATACTGTGTGTGTATGTATGTACTGTGTGTGTATATACTGCGTGTATGTATAGACTGTGTGTATGTATACACTGTGTGTGTATATACTGTGTATGTATATACACTGTGTGTGTGTATATATACTGTGTGTGTATATACTGTGTGTTTATGTATATACTGTGTGTGTACACTGTGTGTGTATACACACACAGTGTACACACACAGTGTATGTATATACTGTGTGTATGTATACACTGTGTGTGTGTCACTGTGTGTATGTATATATTGTATCACTGTGTGTATGTATACACTGTGTGTGTGTCACTGTCTGTATGTATATACTGTGTCACTGTGTGTATGTATACACACTGTGTGTGTGTAGACTGTGTATGTATATACTGTGTGTATGTGTGTGTCACTGTGTGTATCTATATACTGTGTGTATACACTGTGTGTATGTATACACACACAGTGTATACACACACACAGTGTATACACTGTGTGTGTGTATACACACAGTGTATACACACACACAGTGTATACACTGTGTGTGTGTATACACTGTGTGTGTATATATACACTGTGTATATGTATACACTGTGTGTATGTATGTGTATGTATGTGTACACTGTGTGTGTGTACACTGTGTGTGTGTATATACTGTGTGTATGTATATACTATGTGTGTATGTGTGTATGTATATACTGTGTGTATGTGTATACTGTTTGTGTGTATACTGTGTGTGTATACACTGTGTGTGTGTATATATACTGTGTGTGTATATATACTGTGTGTATGTATATACACTGTGTGTATGTGTGTATACACTGTGTGTATATACACTGTGTGTGTGTATATACACTGTGTGTATATATATACTGTGTGTATATACTGTGTGTATGTATATACACTGTGTGTATGTATATACTGTGTGTATGTATGTGTGTATATACACACACAGTATATATACTGTGTGTGTATATACTGTGTGTATATACTGTGTATGTATATACTGTGTGTGTATATACGGTGTGTGTATACACTGTGTGTGTGTATATACACTGTGTGTGTATATATACTGTGTGTGTATATATACTGTGTATGTATATACACTGTGTGTATGTATATACTGTGTGTATGTATGTATATACTGTGTATCTATATACTGTTTGTATATATACTGTGTGTGTGTATATATACTGTGTGTGTGTATATACACTGTGTCACTGTGTGTATGTATATACTGTGTGTATGTGTGTATGTATATACTGTGTGTATGTATACACTGTGTGTGTGTGTACACTGTGTGTGTGTATATATACTGTGTGTGTGTATATACACTGTGTCACTGTGTGTATGTATATACTGTGTGTGTGTCACTGTATGTGTGTATATATACTGTGTATGTATATACTGTGTGTATGTATATACTGTGTGTATGTATGTATATACACTGTGTGTATGTATGTATATACTGTGTGTATGTATATACTGTGTGTGTATACACTGTGTGTGTACACTCTGTGTGTATACTGTGTGTGTATATACACTGTGTGTCACTGTGTGTATGTATATACTGTGTGTGTATATACTGTGTGTATGTGTGTACACTGTGTGTGTACACTGTGTGTGTGTGTACACTGTGTGTGTGTGTACACTGTATGTGTACACTGTGTGTATGTATATACTGTGTGTGTGTACACTGTGTGTATGTATATACTGTGTGTGTGTCACTGTGTGTATGTGTACACTGTGTGTGTGTCACTGTGTGTATGTATATACTGTGTGTGTGTGTCACTGTGTGTGTGTGTATACACTGTGTGTGTGTCACTGTGTGTGTGTGTACACTGTGTGTGTACACTGTGTGTGTGTGTGTAGACTGTGTGTATGTATATACACTGTGTGTATGTATACACTGTGTGTATGTATACAATGTGTGTACACTGTGTGTGTGTACACTGTGTGTGTGTGTACACTGTGTGTATGTATATACTGTGTGTATGTATATACTGTGTGTATGTATATACTGTGTGTGTACACTGTGTGTGTGTGTACACTGTGTGTATGTATATACACTGTGTGTGTACATTGTGTGTCACTGTGTGTATGTATATACTGTGTGTGTGTCACTGTGTGTGTGTGTGTCACTGTGTGTGTGTATATACACTGTGTGTGTACACTGTGTGTATGTATATACACTGTGTGTGTGTCACTGTGTGTATGTATATACTATGTGTGTACACTGTGTGTCACTGTGTGTATGTATATACTGTGTGTGTATGTATATACACTGTGTGTGCGTGTCACTGTGTGTATGTATATACTGTGTGTATGTATATACTGTGTGTGTGTATCACTGTGTGTATGTATATACTGTGTGTGTGTCACTTTGTGTATGTATATACTGTGTGTGTACACTGTGTGTGTACACTGTGTGTGTATGTGTACACTGTGTGTGTACACTGTGTGTATGTATATACTGTGTGTATGTATATACACTGTGTGTGTACACTGTGTGTGTACGTATATACTGTGTGTGTACACTGTGTGTCACTGTGTATATGTATATACTGTGTGTATGTATATACTGTGTGTGTGTCACTGTGTATGTATATACTGTGTGTACACTGTGTGTTTGTACACTGTGTGTATACACTGTGTGTGTGTACACTGTGTGTGTATACAGTGTGTACACTGTGTGTATGTATATACACTGTGTGTCACTGTGTATGTGTGTACACTGTGTGTGTGTGTAACACTGTGTGTGTGTGTGTGTGTACACTGTGTGTGTACACTGTTTGTGTGTATGCTGTATGTATGTATACACTGTGTGTACACTGTGTACACTGTGTTTATGTATATACTATGTGTGTGTACACTGTGTGTGTGTGTGTACACTGTGTGTGTACACCGTGTGTGTCACTGTGTGTATGTACATACACTGTGTGTGTGTACACTGTGTGTACGTATATACTGTGTGTGTGCACACTGTGTGTGTACACTGTGTGTGTGTACACTGTGTGTGTGTATATACACTGTATGTGTACACTGTGTGTATGTGTATACACTGTGTGTGTACACTGTGTGTGTACACTGTGTGTATGTATATACACTGTGTGTGTGTACACTGTGTGTGTGTGTACACTGTGTGTATATACTGTGTGTACACTGTGTGTGTGTGTACACAGTGTGTGTGTGTATATACACTGTGTGTACACTGTGTGTGTGTACAGTGTGTGTGTGTGTGTGTACACTGTGTGTGTGTGTACACTGTGTGTGTGTGTGTTCACACACTCACACACAGTGTACACTGTGTGTGTGTTTGTACACTGTGTGTGTACACTGTGTGTGTGTGTAACACTGTGTGTGTGTACACTGTGTATGTGTGTAACACTGTGTGTGTGTGTGTAACACTGTGTGTGTGTGTGTACACTGTGTGTGTGTAACACTGTGTGTGTACACTGTGTATGTGTGTAACACTGTGTGTGTAACACTGTGTGTGTACACTGTGTGTGTGTGTAACACTGTATGTGTGTGTACACTGTGTATGTGTGTAACACTGTGTGTGTGTGTGTACACTGTGTGTGTGTAACACTGTGTGTGTGTGTACACTGTGTATGTGTGTAACACTGTGTGTGTGTGTAACACTGTGTGTGTGTACACTGTGTGTGTGTACACTGTGTGTGTACTGTGTGTACACTGTGTGTGTAACACTGTGTGTGTGTGTAACTGTGTGTATGTGTGTAACTGTGTGTGTGTAACACTGTGTGTGTGTGTAACACTGTGTGTGTGTAACACTGTGTGTATGTGTGTAACTGTGTGTGTGTGTGTAACACTGTGTGTGTGTGTAACACTGTGTGTGTGTGTGTGTGTAACACTGTGTGTGTGTAACACACTGTGTGTGTGTGTAACACTGTGTGTGTGTGTAACACTGTGTGTGTGTAACACTGTGTGTGTGTGTAACACTGTGTGTGTGTACACTGTGTGTGTGTAACACTGTGTGTGTGTGTAACACTGTGTGTGTGTAACACTGTGTATCTACACTGTGTGTGTAACACTGTGTGTGTGTAACACTGTGTGTATGTGTGTACACTGTGTGTGTGTGTAACACTGTATGTGTGTGTACACTGTGTATGTGTGTAACACTGTGTGTGTGTGTGTACACTGTGTGTGTGTAACACTGTGTGTGTGTGTACACTGTGTATGTGTGTAACACTGTGTGTGTGTGTAACACTGTGTGTGTGTACACTGTGTGTGTGTACACTGTGTGTGTACTGTGTGTACACTGTGTGTGTAACACTGTGTGTGTGTGTAACTGTGTGTATGTGTGTAACTGTGTGTGTGTAACACTGTGTGTGTGTGTGTAACACTGTGTGTGTGTAACACTGTGTGTATGTGTGTAACTGTGTGTGTGTGTGTAACACTGTGTGTGTGTGTAACACTGTGTGTGTGTGTGTGTGTAACACTGTGTGTGTGTAACACTGTGTGTGTGTGTAACACTGTGTGTGTGTGTAACACTGTGTGTGTGTAACACTGTGTGTGTGTGTAACACTGTGTGTGTGTACACTGTGTGTGTGTAACACTGTGTGTGTGTGTAACACTGTGTGTGTGTAACACTGTGTATCTACACTGTGTGTGTAACACTGTGTGTGTGTAACACTGTGTGTATGTGTGTAACTGTGTGTGTGTGTAACACTGTGTGTGTGTGTAACACTGTGTGTGTGTAACACTGTGTGTGTGTGTGTAACACTGTGTGTGGGTGTAACACTGTGTGTGTAACACTGTGTGTGTAACACTGTGTGTGTGTGTGTAACACTGTGTGTGTGTGTGTAACACTGTGTGTGTGTAACACTGTGTGTGTGTGTGTGTAACACTGTGTGTGTGTGTACACTGTGTATGTGTGTAACTGTGTGTGTGTGTAGGACGTGGAGCGCCCTCTACACCAGGATCTGTCTCTCTGCGCTCACTGTGTGTGTGTGTAACACTGTGTGTGTGTAACACTGTGTGTATGTGTGTGTACCACTGTGTGTG